TATCATTAAACACTTTATGCATTTATCATCAATAATAAATAAATTTCGCACAATTCCAACACTGCGCCCCTCACACCCAAACATACGCATACCTTTTAAACGCATTTGCAGGTCATCGCTGGTTCCATTGTAGCACCTGGATTTATGAGCGCACTCAGCCATAACAGTCGTTCACACAATAGTCGAGCTTGTGCTGCACTTCTGTCGAAACGGTATCGTCCACCAACAGCGGTAGCCAATGCAACAGAACCAATCTTAGAAAAATCTGAAAATATAAGTGTAGCAAGCGGAAATCTGTCAAATGTAAAGACTGGTTTGATATAACAACACAAAACAAATGTCAATTTCTAAGACAACTCGTTGATGTTGTGCGTATATATTTATATGTAAATTACAAAAAAAAGAAACATAATAATATATATATATATATATATATATATATGTATGTGTGTATTAATAATAATATTACATACAATACAAATTTTATATAAACCCTATGAAAATGAATAATAATTAACAGCATAACCACTATATTCTTTTTTAGTTCTCCTAAGCCGCGATTTCTCTGTCATATATGTGTTTTCTGAAAATTAAATCCTGAAATCCTTAAAAAATATATTTATTTTAATTTAAATAATCTAATCGTATTTTCAATGTCAAGGTACAAGTGTTGCATGCTGTTGTCTATATACATTTAAGTTCTCTTAACTCTTTCCGTTCTTTCTAAAATTATTGGATTAAGTCAATGTGTGTGTACTCTATTATAAAGAATTTGCTTGCATTAAAATTTAAAACAATAAAGCAACATTTACCACTATCTCTTCATAAACTCTTCATCTCCTTTCTTACCGGATGTCAAGTTCTATTTTCTTTCCACTCTTGAATCTCCCGTTTGTTAGTTTATTCCCCAACAAAGATTTTTTCCTTCCAAGGTGTATGAGTATCGGTGTTTTGCATGTTTGTTGTAAATGTTTGTTCATTCCCCCTATAATTTATTTGTATTTTTTTATCAGCGTTTTCTCTGCATATTTTACAAGATATGCAAATTGTAAAATCGCGTTTTATGCTGTAGTTTATTTTAATTTTTCTTTAAATCTTCTCATAACTCAACGTAAGACTGCATTATGAAATGTCCTCATTAATATTCGCAAACATCATAAAATCTTTTCGCAGTGTCAAATAGTTTTTAAAAAAGACAGATGCCACGTAGGATAATAATTTTTACACGTTCTCAGATATTATGGATTAAGTGCTGAAAATTGCGCTTCATGCAAAATATTAAAGTACAGAAAGATAAATAAAAACTGAGAAACTTATTAATAGTAGAAATCGAATCTAATATAGAATATTCTAATGGAATATTATAGAATATTTCTGAAATATATAAATAGTCACTCGAAATGGTATTGAACTTATATTTGCGTCTCATTTTTTCAAGAAAATTTTTTTAAAATGTATTTTTATAAATCAATCAATTGCAGAACATCAAAAAAATCACTCATGGCTTAATATTTTTAATAAAATGCAAAGTATCCACATTAAATATTCAAATATTTTATTCAAAATGAGGTATTTTTATAATTGAAAATAATTTTTCTGAACCAACCAAAAAAACTTATTGAAAATATTACATTCATCGACGGTATTTTATTTTTACGAGCTTGCTAATTTGACAACGGATTTTAATAGAGTCGCGTATTCTAAGTTACTTTTTTTAACTTTTATATCTGTATACATATATCATACTGAACAGAACTCTTCGTAAGATCTTTAGTCCACTTCGTGTTGACGACGATTATCAAAACCAAATAAAGCAAGAGCTGTACGAGCAAGTCACGAAATTGATATAATTCAGGGAATTGACATACATAGCGAAGCTGACTTAGTCATGTCGTAATAATGAATAAAGTTACTCCAGCGAAAAAAGTATTTGAAGTAATAGTTTTAGAAAGAAAGTGTAGAGGTTGACTGTGTCTTCAGTGGAGTGATCACGTTGAGAGAGCACTAACTGCACTTAATATAAGAGACTGTAGAAAACGCGCACGCAGCAAAGGCACCTAAGGAGACATGCTATGTCAGACCTAAACCCGTAACGAGCTGTTATAGACATTAAATTTTTAAAAATTTGATCATTTTTGCCAATGACCTAATAGTATTCTCCAAAATTTCGTTGTGGTAAACAGCCCCATTATCTTCATATTAATCGCGACCAATCCCGAAAAGAAACTATTGACTTCTGAGTTTGTGCAAATCATCATAAAAGGTTGAGCTTAAGTTCTTCTTGATTCCATTTTTTAATTAAAATATTTTTATTATGTAGTGTTTCTCTAAATCCATTGAAAAATGTTATATATAGTTATATTAATTATTTTTGATACCAAGAGTTATTTGTATTAGACAAAAGCATATGTAAAACGATGATAAGGTCAGAGTCCACTAATGATATTATATATTGATCAAAAAATCTTTTATTTTTTTTGTTTTTATGGACAAATGATTTTGATTGACAATTGTTTATTTTTAATTAAAAAAACACAATTTTAATTGTTGCTTTTGTTTTGAAAAAACTACTTGATACGATTAATATTAAAAATTATTTAATCATTTGTTTTTTGTTATTGTCAATTAAATTGCTATATACTAAAGAACACCTCTAGATTTCTTGGTTAAAGTTTAAAACCTGTAGCTCGTTTATGTAAATCGTTCGAGTTAAACTCGTTTTTTGAAAAAATTGAACGAAAATAAAACAATTTTAAAAGGTTGCTTAGTGCTTGGAAATAGCACTTGTACCAATAATTTAAATTTATTCACTTTAACTTACTTTTTTTCATTCAAAATTCAAAACTTCTCGCAAGCAATTTGACAGGTGACAAAAACTCGAACGAAAAAAAGTGAGAAAACAATTCACCACAGTTACATAAACACTTCTAGTGAGTAATTGTCAAAAGTGAGAAAATCGTTCGAGAAAACGAAGTGAGAAAGTTACATAAACGAGCTACTGACATGTTGATGATATGGGATGGTCACGTTATTGAAATTAGAAATGTATGCGTGATCATCACAGTAATACAGTTCTTTCAGCAAAACTCTTCTATATATGGTTTACGACAAATTGTTCCATTGGTAAATTTAAGGACATTTCGTCCTGGCATTGTAGGACAAAAACAGGTCGTCACGAAATATTTTCTAGCTTAAAGCCTACTTTTGTGTAATTTCTTCTTCGATTCGCCTTCAATGGCCATGAGTCCTATTCATTACTACAGTCACTGGTAGCTGTCAGACTTTTCGAAATTAATAATTCTAAAAATTATTCTTAAACAGGTAAAACATATGATCTCGGAATATTTATTTATAGTATTGGCTTTTAATCTCGTTTAGATAGCTACTTGGTTTATTTATCCAAAGGGTCCCTTTTTTTTTAAACACTTTTTGATATAGGGTATACAAAAATTTAACAACAAATAAACTGATTTCTTATTTAATTATTTAAAGGTTAAAAAATTGCGGATAAAAAATAAATCCTTGTCATTTATATTATAAAAGTATACTGAATGCATTAGGAAAATATGGTCTAATGGCCATTTAAAATGCAAGCTGTCAAGACTAATTTTTTTAAAAAAATTTTTCTTAACTTAAATATATAATGTTATTTTATTTTAATTTTTGTTTTATTTAAACGTTAAATATTAAATAAGTTTATTAAAAAAATTTATTTTAAGTTTAAACGTTATATGTTAAAATTAACCTTTCTAGACCTTTTCTCGAATTTTCAAGAATCTCTTTAATTGTGTATACTATTTAGAAATTTATGTTTCAGGTTAAATTGTAAAAAATTGAATTTAATAATTACCCTATTTTGCACTACCATTTGTCTGAATTTTCGATAAAACGTTATATTTGATAAGGATTAATAAGATGCAACATAGTTGTGTTTCAAATAAAACATGTTTAGTAACGTTTTTTTCCGCACACTAACAAATAAATTCTTTTTAATATGTTTAAATAGTAGATTCAATACTAAAATACCTGTTTTAGAATTAAACATATTTATCTCGTCTGCTTGAAATCGCTAGAGGTAGCATATAAAAGCTATTTTATCAAACCTAGAGATAAGATTTACAATTAATTTTTAAAACCTATTAGCTCGGTTGATGAAGCCATATGTCCTTTTAAGGTTTATATTTGAGATGTCCTTACAAATAAGCATGTTAGTAAGTTAATATGTTAAACATAAATAATTTATTGAATATATTTATCATGCCATTCTAGGAGTTTCGGTGAACAATTGCTATGCTCCTTAGTAAATAAAAACTTGTAATATGATGTTCTTTTCATTTGTTTTTAAGAAATTTTTGGATGTACAAAAAACTAAAAATGCTTGAAAAATACTTGAAAACATACACTTGAAGTAACCTTCTTTTTATTCTCATGAAAGTTTTAGTATAAATAATATACTTAAACCGCATAATGCCTCCTTCGTACTAAAACTTGCCTCCTTGTTATTTGTGTCTTAGGACATATCTATATTGCTTTGATGATAGATAACAATTTGATCCTTACAAAACCATAATCCTTACAATAAGAGGTGGTTTTAAAATAGATTTAAATACTCTTCTCGAAAAAGTGACTTTTTTTCTAGTTTTTTTTTTGTATCACTTTTACTTACTTTTTATCCTTTTATCCCTGCAACAAGTGATATTCTCTTATAATGGCTAATGAGGTTCTCCTTTGAGCAATTAACAGTTTTAAATGTAATTAAAAAATAAATCTCTGAACGAAAATAAAATTCTATATGAAATCTCATTATTTTTAACTTCCATTCATTATTTGCAATATTATTTAAAAAGCTGTCACACATTTTATTACCTTGTAATTGTATTGCTATGTGTCCTTTAGTGTTTGTCAGTACTTTAAGTGAATGACTGTGTGATTTTTATCAAGTGTTGTTAAAATACATTTTTACGAAAATTATATAAAAAAATTTTTAATGATTTTTTCAGGTTTATTATCAACCATATTTTATGTTGTATGGTGAAGTTTTTGCTGATGACATAGATCCACCCTGCGGAGAAGATCCAAGGCAACCACCATGTGTCACTGGTAAGCGAAGTGACAACTTTTGCAACTGCAAATGACAATTTTACTAACTTTTAATTGATAAATATTTTTAGGTCATTGGGTTACACCTATAACAATGTCAATGTATCTGTTGATTGCTAACATTTTACTCATAAATCTGTTAATTGCTGTTTTCAATAATATTTTCAACGAAGTCAACTCGGTTTCACATCAGGTAAATGAAGCAATTAAAATAAATTGTATTCTGTATTTGAATTTATTTAAATATAAAAAAAGAGAATTGTACCTCTGATGGTACAGAGAATCATTACAGTACGTATTTCTGAAATTTATTTCGAAATTCCTATAAAAACATATTATTAAAAAAAATACATTACATCAAGTGTGAAGTAATCTGAAGTCTTTTAGGGGGCAAAGGACTTCTTTTGAACCCTAAAATACCCATCGTATGCGCCACTGATAGTAATGAATTATAGCAACAAAATTTTATTTTTTAGTTAATTAAATATCTTATTCTTTACTTATAAAAAAATTTTAATTTTTAATTGTTTAAACATTCATTTTTCTCTGAGAATAAATTCTCCTTTGAAAGGAGTTAGTCAGTTATAGTGCGAAAATATTTGCATATAAGTATTAAATGTTTAATCAGCATCGGAAGCCACCTTGTGAGACTTGAACCCACTAAACCAACTCTTAGGAATGAATGGAGAAGATTTCCACAGCATTGTGAAAACTTCATTCAAGTAATCAGGGGAAAGAGGACAAGAAATAGACTTAGTACCTAGCGAACTAGATTTATCTAAGCTAGACACCAAGGGCGCACATTAGGGAAATTGGGTTATAGAAAAGGGGGTGGGGTTAGAGCAGATGAGCGGTGGCGAGGTTAGCGGTAAACTTTGTGACTGGGGTCACGAAACCCGCGGTTATATAGAGGAATGGAGTGGAGGTTACGGTCTCACTCATTGAGGTAGTGGGACAGGTATTAAGGAGGTTTAAAGCACAAGGCTAGAACAAGATCTTCAGGAAGGGTTATAGGAATAGAGACGTCAGGGGGGAGTTCATGGAGCCGGGTGAGGTACATATGAGCGAGTATCAAAAGGTACTCGTCAATGCAAGTGATCTTGGCATATCACTCATATATCATATATGGCGGCTATTTTGGATACCGTTATCTATTGTTTTAATTATTCGCATAAAGTTTTTTTAGACTATAAGTGGGTGGAATTGAACCCTCTTAAATCTGAAGGTTGGAGCCACTTGATAACCTATGATATTTCAATTAATTAACTTCAAAATTTGATTGTAATTCATAAAAAAATATATCTTTTCTATTTTATTTTTTCAATTTAATTAAATGAAACCAACATATTTGATTTTTTTTTTGGTTTGTAGGTTTGGATGTTTCAGCGTTTCACGGTTGTCATGGAGTATCAACAAAAGCCAGTATTACCGCCGCCATTCATAGCATTTTGTCATTTTTATTCACTGCTTAAGTACTGTGTTCGCAAAGCCAAAGGTGAATTTTCTTTTTCTTTGTGCTTACTTTGCTTATTTTCGTTATAACATACCAAACTATAATTACAAAATAATAATACAATTATTTAATATAAATAAATAATAATAATAATATATTTATGGATTTATATTTATATATTTTTTCATATAAACAAAAAAAATGCATATAATAATAATGAATGTACAACGTACTCCCGTATATAAAAACAACAAAAATGCAACGATCAATGTGATATATGAATTTTGTAAAATATTACAATAATATATATATATACGCATATATAAAATATATGTATATATTGTGATTTTTGCTATTGAATGTGAATTAATATTTTTTATTTAAATATTTTGTTTTCATAAAAATTCATTTTTTATTTATAATTATATATTTTGTGTGCTGATTCCTTGACTGCCTTCCTTTATGAAAACAAACAACTTCCTGGGCAATGCTGTAAACAATGCAATACTTTATGCAATTTATATTGCTATTGATGTAAACTGTTGCTGCAATTGTTGTTGCTGTTGCTGTTGCTGCTGCTGTCGCTTGAATTTCTGTTGCTGTTATCCTTTCAATCAATTGTAATTAACATATTCCCTTGCAACGCAATGCAATATTTATGAATAAAAACAAATAAATGCGCACAGGATTGGAGGTACAACGCGATAATGGACTTAAATTGTTTCTCGAAAAGGATGACCTGGAGCGTTTATATGATTTCGAGGAGGAATGCGTTGAAGGATTCTTTCACGAACAGGAAATTATATTAAATCAATCAACAGATGAACGTGTTAAAAACACAACTGAACGTGTTGAAGTTATGACACAAAAAATAGAAGATATAAATCAAAAAGAGAATGCACAAACAGCTACAGTTCAGGTAAGTTTGTCTTTCTTCTTTTTTTTCGAAACAAGAATTTTTGTTTTATATTCAAATATGATAAAATGTGAAAAATATTTAAAAAACAATTCTAACTTAAGTGAAAAATGTTAACAGAAAAGGATAAAAAATTAAAAAAAGTTAACAAGTATTTAACCTATTCGAACGTCATTGTTCTTTATAGCTCAGAAGGAACATAATATTATACTGTAAGAACTGACGTAACAACCCATTAATGCCCCATATAAACACAACTTCCATTGTGACTTAAATGTAGGTAGAACGAATGTATTCATTTACTTTCATTTGATGTCGAGTTGCATTAGGCTTCGCTCCTCACCAAGAAAAAAAACTATATCCAAACGTATAGTTTCAATTGGTACCTCCGGAATTCCTCAGAATTCTAATGGGGTATTTATTGGCGTAATATACCGATACGTGTGTTAAGCACACCATGGTATTGAGCCTTCACGACAGGTAATCATATAATTCTGGACTTTTGTGACTTAAATGTAAATGGAGCAAAAACGAAAATGGTGCTGTTCAACCATTTATTCAACCATTCATTCTTCATCCTCTACACCATTTATATATGTCAAAGAATAGACACTAAAATTTCCCGACACAGAGAACTATCTTGGTTTAATACTAAATAGGAAAGTCGGAATAAGTAATAGAGAACAGTTATAACTTTCGCTTGAATAGCGGAATAGTGACTATTACGACATCTGCATAAAATACCACAGTGTTCCACTATATCAATTATTCAATCTTACCAATCAATACCGGTGAAAACTACAAATTATATATCAAAAATTTTTTTTTTTGTATTAAGAATAAGCTAATCTAATCATCTAGAAACCCATTTAGAACTAGCAAACTAATAAAATTGAGTAATGTCAGTAATATATATCCTTTGTAACCAGTTATTAGCCTATAGGTAAACCACAGAGACTTACAGTTCAAATTTGTGATATCTGCGATATTGTGATATGTGTCAATAGAAAAATGAAAGACTATAATACTAGCCTTTTTAGAGTACCACATAGAACTGAAAAGATATTCTTGAAATAAAATACAGAATATGATGTAAGTAACGCCTTCATTAATAATACATATATAATATTAACTTCATAGAAAATAAAATTAATACTACGGAGGATATCGTAAATTAAATGCACTAGAGTAATGCAATAGACCTGTAGATGTTTTACGTGAAACGTTTTGCCGATACCTAGCCTAAATAGAAATAAAATTTGGTTCACCTATTTTCATATTGTCATCAAAATTGTAGACCATTCTTTCAACATAGAAAAGTATTAACTAATTTAGAAGGCCAAAATTACTTTAAAAATGAAATCCTGGAAGATAATATATTTTTAACCTTAAAATTAGAATTTCCTTCCCTAAGATTTGATCTTCATAAAGTTAACGATAATAATTAATGAAGTGTTTTTAAGAAAGCATTTTTATTTTTAATTCAAGCTTTTCATATTCAAGCTTCTGTGCCGTTGATCCTATTTAATGATCTAAGAATACACTATATATATGTTAATGTAAAAATTATACTGCTTGATGTAATTACCAAACTTATTTAATACTCAAACGTTATGAACACGGATATGCTTATTATAGTTATGCATATTTTGAAAGAACTAGGAAGTATAATTAAACAATCAACAAGGCAGATTTTGTTTGATTATACTTCCGTTTTCTTACAGATTCTTAAAGTCAGCTACTCAGTTACGGAAGTTATAAAATTCAATCTATATCATCGATTTCACTAAACTTTTGAAGCAAATTTTTGCTTTTTCGATACATTTATTACGAATACCAGAATTTACTGCTATTCTATTTCCTTTTTAGAAAATGTGATTATATACGACCTCGCATTCATTCAAATTGAATAGCATATGTATATATATATATATGTAAATATATATGTACTCGTATTTGAAGTCGTCTTATATTTACTTTTGTTAAGCTTATTATACTTTTAGGTTACAATTCAGAAGAGCAAACCAAAATTCAGTTTCCAACAAATTACTTTAAATTTCCTTTATTCCTTCATAAGATGCGTTTCAGTTACCAATCCTTGGATATAACAAAGCTCCTCGAGCAGCAATAGAGACAATTTCTTACTTATACTGTACACTTTTTTTTTTTCAAATAAGTAAAAATGTAATCCTGCTAGTTGAGAAGTACTTATACTATTGACATTTCATTCAACTTGTTCAATCTGTTACTGGATGACAGTAAACCCACTTGAGTGTGCTGATGTTCAAGTAATCAATGGATACCAGAAAAAAGCATTTCTTAGCAAACGAAAAAAATATATTAATCATTTAAAATAAAATAGGAAATGCAATTTTTTTTATGTCACGAATTGGGTAGCTGTGATATTCATGGCGAATGAAATGCGTGTGGTTTGATTCAAAAAAATTAGTACTAAATTATTAAATAGGTGATACTTTATGATTATCCCAGTTTTATTTTTTTAATCAAATTTAAATTAATGATTTTACCTTATATCTATATTTTATTTCACAAAAAAGCATATATTAATATGCACTAACTATTTTAAGATTTTAAGATTTAAGATTCAAAACAGGTCCTAAAGTGTTACGAGCTCTTGCAATCACTTGCAGCTCGGAATAAGGTAAGCCTTTACTGGATTCCGTGCCACAGGGGAGTTTTGGAAAATGAAAAAGCTGATGAGCTAGCCAGAACTGCATCAAAAACTACTTTTATAGGCCCTCAATCCTTTTGTGGAATAAACTGGGGCAGTACAAAACAGATTATCAAGTAAAGGGAAAATCAAATGCGGCTGGAGTACTGGGTAAACTTTCCAAGACTCAGACAAAGCAAAGCACTGATAACACCGTATTCCTACAAAGACATTCTTAAATTCTCAAAATGTAATTTAAGGTTAATAACGGATTTCATTACAGGTCATTATGGTCTCAAATATCACCTTCATAAACTACCATTGTCTGCTTACTCGGAATGCAGACTATACCTCGAAGATGAGGAAACGTGCATGGTACATTCTTTGTGACTGTCAAGCTTTAATAACGCACAGAAGAAACCTCTTTCATATGAAATTTCTTTCACCAGAGAGCAGATTAAGAGCTCTTCTCTAGATTCTGTTCTAGATTTTGTTCACAAAGCGTTAAAGAGCTTTGTGTAATCAATAGTGAAATTGGTACAATAGGACTCTTCTGGCCGCAGTAACGGCTGTTGGGCAATTTTCACGTCTAATTTTATAATAAATAATAATAACTATTTTAATAGTAGTAGCCTATTTGTATATAATAGGGCGAGATAGAAATAATAAAGTAAGATAGAATAAGATGATATTTATTCTAAATTAAATAAAAGTCATGCATTTAATATGTTAGAAATTTAGTTTTATGTGTAAAATACTTTAAAACATTTGCACAATTACTATTCATAATAAGTTGTCTTCTAATTTGTTGAATTTGTAAGCAAAATACAGCCAGAAGTTGTGATTAAGTATTGTTACGGAAAATAGACTAATTTTTGATTCAACATAACATAATGTTATTATTAAATACATTCAAAATTTCTCATATATTTTCACTTGTTAGTATCTCGAAACTAGTTTATAAAGATACTGGTGGACTGCTCTTCATCAGTTCAATTACTGATTTTTACATATATTTATAACTCTTGCGAAATCATTATTGCATATATTTTGCATATTCCTTATTTTATTTCTTAAAAACTACCGTATCATTTTATTAATATAATTAAGAACTTTTCACTTTATATTACTCAATTGCTTTAGTTGCATTTCTAGCATTATTTTTTCCTCATTAAAATGAGGAATTATATTTTATTTTATATTCCACTTTGAATATACGTATTTTCTTTTTTCTTATAGAGCATCGAATTTCGCTTGCGTAAGATGGAAGAATCGTCAGAACAGATACTATCACACTTGGCCGTCATACATAGATTTATGGCAATGCATATCACTGGCCAGGATGATGTGCACCTATCCAACATGAATATTCCAGTCGATTTGCAACGTGTGCGCACGATTTCCGTATCAGATAACGAAACTAATGCAACACATAATTTGCAGGTGAATCCTCTTTTTACTTTTGTTTTCTTTCTGTCATTATATGCAATCATCCTTGTGAATTTTCTTAGGTTCACTGTTTTTGTTGAAGATTTTGTTTTCAGGATTTGCATAAAATTCACATTTTCATATTTTTTTTCTTATAATTTGTATTTAATTTTTATATTTTACACCATATACAGGTAACTAATCGTCGACGTTTTAACCGTTCATTAACTGAGGTACGTCCTGATGCGTACATCTTCGACGAAGGAACACATTTTGAGGTGGTGCCAGTGCCAGAGGAAACAGATGAAATGGTAAAATCACGTGAAGCATTAAACGAACCGGTTGTGCGTAAAATTTCTATGCAATCTGAATCTGACTCCGATATGTTTCTACCTCTATCTCAACGTCCCTCCACCTGTGAGACTATTAAACGTACACCATATGTTACTGTGCGACAGGATACAGGCGCTAGTACCGAAAGTAAAGATACTTTGACACCATTAGGTAATGATGATGAACAAACTTTAGTAGGTGAGAACTCTGACGAAACAGCACCTGACATCAATTTTGAAGGTATGCTATTTAAATACCTATTTGCTGTTACTGATTTGTTTAAACTTCTGGTTATTTTTGTTTTTCTTTACCAGCTGCCAAACACCGTGCTATGCGTCAACGTACAGTTTCACTTTGTCGTCGCAATTCGGAAACTTGTTCAATTACTGCAGATATTGCACGCTCTCACATAAGCCTTAATCAATTGCCACTCACACGTCGACAAATGAGTTTGACACAATCTGAGCCTGAAAGCGATAAGGAGCAAGCAACTGGTATGTTAACATTTCATCACATATATATGTCACCTTATATCTCGTACCAACATTGGCAATGGTCCTACAAATTCCAAAGTAACATGAGAAGTCGTTTTCCTTGTGCTCCTAAGGCCCAACTTCATTCTAATACATCCACATTCGTAATTTTGTAATTAAAAATGAAAAAGGATTTTTTGTTGTTGTGTCACTCTAGTCCTAATGAAAATTAATTGAATTTTCTTTCATAAATTTCTCGTCCATGAACTTGTACATCCATCCACTCATCCTCACGTCCTCTTTTCCCCTCTGTGTTGTGTAACATTTCCTTTGTGTTGTATTGTAAATTGCTATGCAACATGTGCTCCTTTTTTGTATATGTTTAATTTTTTTTATATTTTTTACTTAACTTTCATATGCACTCGGGTTATTTTTAACAATTTTTTTTCATAATATTTTCTCCTGTTTTGTTTTTTGTAAAAAAAATATATTATTTTTTTCGTTTGGTTTTTTTTTTCGCTCCTTTAACAAAACTATGCTCCACTTGGCGTTTATCGGTGTCTGAAATGCACATAGGCAAAACAGTACTGCATGCGAAACCTTCCAGAAATATACTACTGAGGCTTCATACAGAATACACATCCATTACGGATGAACTGGAGAGTGTGTGTCATATGATAGCATCGCCAACAGCATCACTTCAGAGCAATAAAGGTAAGTGCAGCTTGGAGCTATTTTTATTTTGAATATTAAACAATTGTACATATAGTTTTAGAAAATAAATTTCATCGAAAAATACACACAAATAACTTATACACTACACTACCTTGTATATACACACACAAATTTATATATATTTTATTACAAATAATCGTAACCTTTAAAATAACACTTATAGTATATGGAGGTCATAATGTTCAATTCATCATGTTTTTGCTTAAACTAATACAGAAAGTCAGCTAACTTGTAAATAAGTATAAAAATTGTATTATTTCTTGTTCTTATTAGTTTCTACTTTCCCTAGTGTGGCATAAGCCCGGAACGATTTTTTTAAACTTCACTCTATTGGGTACTTTTCTGTATATATGGTTTCACATCGTGTAGCGATGGCACACAAACTTGCAAGAAGAGTTACGGCTTTACGCCTATTATTTATGATACGCCTATTACCTATCTGTGGACTAGGCAAAAAAAACTCTCTCCATTCTTATGAACGGCGCAAAGGAAAAAAAAGAGAAATCTAAAATGCTTTTAGGCACCTATATCCTAAAACGCTCCAAAAATTGCATAGCACAATCAAAGAATAACCTAAGAATTATTATGGAATTATGGTTACTGAAAATTGAATAATCACCTAACAAAGTTAAGAATTCAATCCAACTCAAACTGTTGATACTGTAGAGAAGAGAGACAAACTGCGTACTATGTGCTTGGAGAGTGTCCGTCACTGATGCACAAGTGGAAGAAACACCTAGGAGGGAATCATAAGGATTCCAGACTAGGAAAAGTAGGCTCTATACTGTCTTTCATTAAAGAAATCGAACTCATTAAAGATCTTTTGGGTCGCAGTGCACTACCCCTTTTCACAATAATAATAATAATCGTGTAGCTCGCTTAGTTCTATTTTAATTATTATGTAGTCAATTTACTATAAAGCTGAATTAGATAGCATTGCTGTTTTTTATAAAAGCATAAAACTCTCACCTTGCCGGGGTATTCCCGTTAACTTACTACATACTTCAGCTACTATCTTAGCTACCTCACAAGAAATTATATAGCCAAACCTGTGAGGATGTAAGGTAGTGGACGAAAGTCGGAAAACTATTGTAGAATATCCTTCGAATGTAATGGTGTAAGGTAGCGACGGACAAAACTAAATATATCGTTCGGTCAATAGTGACACATATAGCCTTTCCCGATTCGGAATCATCTTGCACCGCACTGGTGATCGGAAAACGCATCACAAACAGTGATTTCAGTACTTTATCTTACCCAAAATATATAATATAAAATTTAAAAATATTTTTATTAATTACTTCTAAAATAACTCCAATAAGTAAAACCGAATGAAGCTTCATTCCTATCTCTGAAATTAAGGATCATATTTTGGTGAAATAATTATGTATAGTATAATATATATTTCATCAAAGACACCATTATCATAATATAATTATAATACTTTTCACCATTAATGAGATCTGTACTACTATGAGACTTGGAAAGTGACTGTTTGATAATATTATTGGATACTGAAATGTTTTGATGCTATATGTTACTTAAGCATTTGAGAACACTTTGCAGATCGATTCTTGAAATATAAAAAATTTATTGAACCCAAAATATATGAATATAAATAACAACCGCGACAAATTTAAGTTAATTTAAGTCTACTAACCTCAAAAATGCAATGTTTTTTTGCAGACTCGTGGATTTTTGGGAAAAACAAATTAAAGATCGAAGATTGAAGCTTTATTGACTTAATAAATAGGTCACGATTTTTGTGTCTTTAACAAAACTGCTAATAATAAATAGATAAATACTTTAATCTTAGACATCCTTTTCTAAATTCTTTCATATCCTCTTCAAATATAAAATATACATAAAATATTTGTTAGAATCATTCAATATTATTATATTATTAATAGAAACTCTCATTTTGAACGAGGAGAAGAAGAATTTATGAAATAATGTCTAATATAAAAATGCTTATCTATTTATATCTAGCAAATTTGTGGAAGGCACGATATTAGTATCTTTATTAAAATAAAGAAATTTTAACTTTTTAAAACTTAAGTTTTAGTCCGGTATTGACAGTCACCTAGGTTTTTTTAAGAAAAAGAGATTGCAGATTTAAGCTAAGATATATTATACCTTAGCGATTTCTTTATTAACGTTAAGGTTAGTTGATCATTGATTATTTTACTTGCATTCGTCATCAAACTTTATAAGAAATATAGAAAAATTCTGCTTTGTTATGCGATAGCACCACTATATAAAATACAAAATTAAGGTATTAATATGATATATATTAATATATAATATACTAATTAATATAATATATTAATATGATATATATTAATATATATTATAGATCCCTATATTTTGAAAATATCGAGAACAAGAACAAATATTTTAAACTTACTTCATGCTTCAAATATTAATAGATACGTATTAAGTTTTTTTTGGAAAGTTGTGGATTAGTTTTTGTTCCTATTAATACTATAAGAACAGTATTTCTTGATGTTGGACGTTAGCCCCCACAGGATACAGAAACAATTGTCTTGAATGACAGTTTGAAATTATACTTTAATTAACATTGTTAACTTTGGAACAATGGCGACTAAAAAGCCATTTACGTACTTGACGACGCAATATAGATAGGGATATATGTGTAAAAGAGGTTGTTTATGGGAAAGGTAAAGAAAACAGTTATTATTTATTTGCTTGTGAAGGGATACTCACTCTATACATCTAGTTAACTTTTTTAACACTTCTTATAAATGTTTGCTAGGAGTGACTTTGGAATTTTTTCAAGTCTTAGAAGGTCGATAAACATTGTGTTGAAGCCTTTCTGTTTCATCATTGCAAGTTATTCTGGTCAGGGTCACAATTCCAGCTTAATTTAGAGTTGTTCAAACAAATGATTGATCTCCTTTGTGCTTATATAGTAGTCTTAATGCAAAAAAATATAAGATTGTTTATAGAAAAGGTGATGAATATAGTTCTTCTTTCATCATTTGAAAAGGGACAATATTCGACTGATTTGCTTATCTCTCAAAACGCTTTTTGTGAATGGTACGTAGAAAAGTATTTTAAATTTTTTGAAATTGTCATTTGCAGTGTACAAATAATGTTAAGAAACACTATGTTGTAGCATTTATGTTTGATTATTCCCAATCTTTTACCGACTTTCGCAAAATTCCATTTAATTTGAAATATATGACTCATATGGTTAATTTCGTTAGTCCATAAAATATTTTTATGCTCTATCTCTACAGTATTTGGTGGTCGTTGCTCAAATCCACATAAACAATGTTTTATTAACGCAATTCTTTTTAAATTTTATAGTATAGAAGTGTTCATCTTCTAAGCATATTTT